GGCGGGCCCTTTACTGAGGTGCCTCTGCGGAGGGTAGACACTTCTCTGAGGTGCTCCTGCGGAGAGCAAACCCTTTACTGGGGTGTTCCTGCGGAAGGCGGACACTTGACTGGGGTGTTCCTGCAGCGGCCGGCCGGGCGGCAGTAGGCGCGTCGCGTGTGGTGACTCGCAATGGGGGGGAGTGAGAGAGGGCAAGACCAGGGGAGGGGGGGGGGGGCTTCGCCCACCTGCAAGGGGCCACCGTTCCAAACTGCCTCGGTTACTGTTCGAGTAAACGCACCACCGGCCGTTTGAGCGTACGGCCGTGGCGCGTGGCGCGTTCGGTTTTCAGGCAGAGCCTGCACGGACGGGGACGGGCTATCATTTTCCGAGGCGATTTGTTGTTGTCTCATCTGTCGGTGTTGCGGTCTTGCAAAAATTGCCCTGCCAAACCACAGTGCCTGATTTGATTGATGGTTAGCGACCGCCCCCCCCCCCCTCTCTCCGCGTCGCGACCGCCAGCGTTGGACCAGGTCTCCGCAGTGTACTCGCGCTGCCACACTGGGACTTCCATCCGAACAAATGCGTTGTTTTGTTTGTCGCGATCGGTCCCGATCTCCTGACGACAAAGTTTCGGTGACGCGACATGTCCAACCGGCCTTGTCTTTCTCTGTTTTAAGGAGGCTCCCGGGCCACCCGGAACTCGTTTTCCCGAACGCCCATCCTACCGCATGCGACTACCTTTGACATTACTCTGGAGAGAAGGTGGAGTTCAGAGGGGCATATATGCTGAGCCTAGCAGGAGGGGAAACCGGGAACCCCACACGTTAAAGTATTTGACTCGCCTGTTCAACCCGCGCCGGGGGCTCGGCTCTGGGGTGAGTGGACTAAATATTGTCGCGGTTGGAGAGTTGTGGTAGACGCAGCAGAGAAGGGGGACAGTACGAGGGAGGAAGGGAGAGACAGAGAGGTCAGGGGTCAGAGAGACTCACGAGGGCGGTGACCTCCAGAAGAGGGGTGTCCAGGGTGCTGCGAGGTGCCGTTGAACGCCGCACTTCCTTCCGCGAAAGTCCGACGGAGACTGGGGAGTGCTCTGCGGCGGCGGTCCGACTGATGAGCTGCTTACCTTAACCGTGAGGCTGCTGGAGATGGAGCTGGAGGGGGCGGCCTTGGCCAGCCTTGGCGTCCGGTCAGTGGCTGCAGCGCACGCCTCGGCGCGACCAGCGCGACGGCGTCCACATGGGCCAGTCCGAATGCTGACAGGTGACCGGCGGGTCAGATGGGCAGGCGGGAAACGAAAATGCACCTGTCTTCGTCGTGTCACCTGACGCGGAGAAACCAATAAGCAGCTCGCTTAGTGGTCACTCTAGTCATTGAAGGTTCCACGGAGAAAAGTCTCCACTGGAATTCCCCTCGAAACCTGACGCTTTTTTGCTTTTTTTTCGTTGGGTCCGTTCGAGTAATTGTGGTAAAGACCTCCAACAGACCCTCCGTGGTTCGCCCTCATGGCCAACGCCCCAAATAAGCAGGGCTCATGGTGTAGACACCCCGGCCCTACCCGGCCGGTGCACACTGGGGATCACCTGTTTTTCTCAGATTCGCTCAGCTAATTACGGGAGCTCAGCGCCTGCGATATTCTGGGTAGGCCGCCCCGCTCCGCATGTATGCATTGCAGGCGAGATGTTGCCTACCCATCAGGCGCTATGAGAGCTTGCAGAGGCTTCGCTTGACAGTTTCGTAACCGCGTGAATGGCGGGCGTACTTTCTGGGTGATCCCCCGTGCTAAGAGTAGTGCGCTCACAATGTAGCCCTTGTATGATGGTCCATTTCGGTCAACTGAGCCACCAAACCATTGGAAATAGATGGTGCTCGGCTGCGACCCTTCCTCCCACCCTCCCCCGTGCAAGATTTCGTCTTCTATACGGCATAACCAACACCGCCCTCCCACGTGACTCAGGCCCTTTGAATCTACGCGCGTAAAAGAATACAGGTTTGTTCTAGGGAATTCCCGCCACAACAACAACCGACAGCGCACTGGGCAGCGACGGGTCAACGGACGCGGGCGCGCGGGCGCGGTGCATTTCAAGATCCCCCCCCCCCTCCCCTCAATGTCGTGGGTATCCGCCTTCCGGTCAGCGGCGGGAGGACGCAGGAGGAAGTAAGCCACGGGGGGAATTCCGTCCGTCCGTCCGGCAGGGCAGAGAATGATTCAGCCGTCTGCAGCCTCGGCTTGGAGGCTGGCGCCTGCGCACTGCTGCAGGCTAACGGGGCTGCATGTCCCCATCCTAGCCAGGCTCCTGTTTCGTCCTCTTCCCTATCCTCGCGCAGGGCGGCGCGGACCGAGCACCGACCTCATCAGCCCCGCCTGGTTCGGATGTGGTGGCGGCTACCGCCGGCCCAAGGTGGACCGGCCTGGGGACCGCCGCCAGCCCGCGCGGCAGCCAACACTACCACTGCCCTTGGCCGTGACACAGCGCACCGTCACACCGACCGTCACGCTGTCGGGTGGACCGTTACAACTCGCGCCCGTCCACAGTGCACTTCATTCACAATCATTGATCGTTCCGTTGCCCTTGTCGTCACAAGACGGTTGCCTCCAAGCCGTCGGGTCACGCATGTCATTGCGGGGGATTTCTGGGTCGTTAACGATGCGACTTGAAGAGGAATTAGATTAGGTAACTTCATTACACACCTTTACACCTGGAAGAGGAACAAACGCGCCCTCCCCCTTCAGAACCGTCACTCGGCGTTCACAAGCTAGCGCGGGCGCTTCAAACGGGCACAATAAAGCGCTCTGACTAACCTCTAACGAAATAATGTGTGAAGGAGTTAGAAATATAACAATTGCAAGGGGAAAATAAAATTTATCAAATCATAGTAGTGGTTTTACTATTCCCAAGTTTGATCCAATAATACACTGATTTCAAAATGTATAATAATCAATGTTGTGGGGTTCAAACTAGCTGAAATGGTAATTTGTGCGACACATTCTAGTGGCTTTTCAAGGGCTCTGATAGGCTGATTTCTAACAAGTCCAACAAATTACAATTGCAGCCAGTCTAAATCCTGAAAACCAATACAAAAATAAACCAACCACAGTTTGTTTGGTGGTAATTTGATTACATAAATATAAATTACCAATTTCTTTGCAGACATAGATATTTGCCACTAAAGAAAACATGAAAATCACAGAAATGTTCTTACATCACATAGAGACTAAATCAGTTTGTACACCTTGCCCTTATATAATTTGAAATTGGCATATTGTTTAATGATACCAATGCTCTTCGCAATAAAAATCCTACCTAACTAAATGTAAGTTGTGAAACACAACAGCAATATGGTAAATAGATAGGAATCATACCTTTCATTTCAACTCACTTGTCCATTTCTTGACAGACACAGACGTCAGTGAATCACATGACACGCTGCATTCACTTGCGATGTGAGACAAACTTCAAACAGATTTAAAGAAGTTTTTGTTTCTGAAATTGAACAGTTGAAGACCGTATTTTTAAATATTCTAGATAGGTAGATGTAAGCCCCTAGGTGATTTTGATAATCTAAGTTACCTTGTTTTGCGACGCAGAAGCCATTTCTTCTGTGTTTTGTGTGGGTTCAATTGCTTTTATCTCTTTGCTTGATGGGTTCTCATTTGAAACTCTCTCTAATGGTTGAGAGTTGAGAGGAGTTTGATTATTGACTACAGTTTTTCCGCAAAATTTTTGATAGGAAGGAGGAATAGGAATAATACTTCTTACAAACTTAAAGTTATGATAAATAGGCTTTTCAGCCTTTGGCCGAGTAATTTTGATAGAATGGCTTCTCTTGGAAGGTATAGGAGTTTTCTGTTTTTTAAGCACTTTAGAAGATTCAGCAGAAGGAAGTTCACATATTTCAGTGGCACTTGATTCAGTATAGTCTGATAATACTTCCAACAAATTTGCGTGATTATGAGGTAAAGTTGATTCTTGCTTGACTTGAGATTCTGGAGAAGAAATTTTCACAACAATCAACTTCTTATCTTCATTCTCTGGATTAGTATCAGGGTTTTCTTCTTCTCTTTTAGGGGTCTCTGCACATTTTATGACTACTACTTTTTGTGATGACTTGCGATCTTCTGTTTCATTCTGTTCAAAATAATTCTTCACTACGTTGAACAAAGATTTACCAACAGCCTCTTGTAATGGAGGCTTTGTATCTTGGTTTGTAGGAGAACTAGACAGGGCAATTGCAGCCACTGAGGGAGCTGGTAGGTCAGGAACCAAGTCCAGCAAATCAGGATCTAAGGCTTGTGTTGGTTGGTGCACAGTTTCACAATACAAACAAGGAAATGGACCAGTGCTCTGAAAATTAAAAATTAAAATTATTGTTAGTAGGGTAATTCAAATTATTTAGAATTCATTATAATTTCAACAGAGAAAAAGGAAAATGTTCTTCTTTACGTCAAGCAACATGCAGATTGCTCATCATTTCCCTTAATCCTCTTTGGAAGGTGTTACCTGGCAGTAAATAGCTGTAGAATTTTTGGGCAGATTTGGACAGCGCTGCACATTGTTGGAAGGAGTCACCTTCTTCTCAAAAGCTGACCAATACTGTTTGTAATGCTCCGTTGACCTCCAAGCGTTCATTGCCTCCTCTGAGAGAGGAGTGTGTCCTTTTTGAAAAGATGTAGGAATAGTTTCATTAGATATCCTCTTCCTTTTTATTCCTCCATGTAGCGTAGTGAAGTGCAGCTCACAAATGTACAGAGTTCTTTGGAGTGATTCAATCGGAACATCTAGGAGATCCATTCTTCCACAACATTGGACCCACTTTTCAAACCTGATGGTCAAATGAAGTCAACATTAAATTAATATGAATTAAATTGCAATACTCTGGAAGTGTATATAAAAATTATAAAAAAGATAAGAACAAACCTAAAGGGGTTAGAATTACTTACACCTCTCGCTTTTTTGGTATATGGAAAGTAGATATATATTTCCTATCCGGGTCATGTCTATCATACTTCTCAAACTTGCAGCCATGAACGAAACATTTAGCTTTAGAATGTTTAGGAATAGGATGAATGAAATATTTACTCATCATCTTGAAAGCAGAGCAGAACTTTTTGACAACACTGTTATGAAGTGAAGAAGGATTTCTCATATTTGTGACAAGGAGAAACTTTTCGTTCAGAAAAGAAGCAGAAGCAGACGACGCTGGGCTGCGTAGTGCCAAACTCAAAACACTGACACAATGGCCTCTCAAAATCAAATGAAAGAAAACAGGGATGAGTATGAGTGGATGAAAATAAAGGCTGACATGGAACGGGAACGATCGGAACTTGCTGAAACTGGAGGGAGTAGAATTAGTCGAGTATTCATGACAAACCCGTTTGTTCCTATTGGTGAGTCTAACCTAACCTCTTAACAAATAACAAACCATTACAATTGCTAACAGAATACTTAGACAACGTAGCTGTCATTCTCATTGACTTTAAGGTCTAGCCCCTTCCTTTATTGTAAATGGTCGTAGCAACATTTGAAACTGCTGTGTTGAGTTGATGATATTGCATTGTACGCATTTATCAGCAACTACTGTCCATTAGTAATTTTTTCTATTTCTTTTTGTGTGATATTATCCTACAATATAGTAATTATCATCTATGTTTTTCAGGATGCCTGTCAACAGTTGCAGCTCTATTAGTAGGACTCAAAAATTTCTACAAAGGAGATCATAAGCGACAACAAGTTATGATGCGGGCCCGAGTAGGAGCCCAAGGATTCACTGTTTTTGCACTTTTGGGTGGTGTATTTTACCACGCCTTTAAGAATGAATAAGTGTATAGTAATGTTGGAATTTCACAGATTTTACAAAATACTGTTAGCAGGCCCTCTAGTGAGGTAAATCTCTGAACTCTTTTCTGTGGCAACCTTTGAACCTTTGTACAGCTAACAGCTTTTCTCTCGATCTGTCTGTATCATCCAATTGTTTCCATGTAACTAATTTAGAAATTTATTAAATATTATTTTTGAAAATGTGTCAATTAGTTTTCCACAGGTGACCAAACTTTATCAATAAAACACAATTCAGCAGTTCACTATTTTCTTTTATAATTGAAACATTACACAAAATCATCTGAACAAGCACATTTTGCTCAAAAATAAATAAAAGTCAAATCATCAGAAAGATTCAAAGTTAAGCTTGCAAAGGAAAGTTTTCAATAACAGGACAAAAAAACAGACAATTGGTTTTGTGAATATTGTGAGTGGCAAAGTAATAATGCCCTGATTTAAAACTGTGAGAAACAAGGGAGTAAATAGTCACTAACCTAAGAGTAGGAATGATATTAAGCATACCTAGTAAACAAGATAGACACTCTCAGGAGTCATTTCAAGTCATTTGCAGTTTTAGACTGGTCAGTCAAATACGGTCAAAAACCGCAAATGACTTCACAGTGAGTCTTTCATTTTTATTAGGTATTCACACTTCTGATTTTCAATAATCTTGGCCTTTAAGCATGCTTGAATTGAGAATATCTCCCAAAACCCTTGGGTTATGAAATATGTGCCTATGAGTCTCACCTCATTCATCTACAGTTACTTGACTATGCTGTGAAAATGATTAACTGTTCAATCCAAAAACACTTTTTCCTTCAGAGGATTTTAAAAGATCTAGATATAAACAGCAAACTGAATCATACTTAGGAGTATGCAGTACATTGAGTACATAAACATTGACTATTTCACTCAGCTGGAGTAAAGCAAAGATGCCAAACCTGTCTGTGCTTTATTACTAGGATATGACAGCTTTAACCACACTAATGATTTTTGGCATTACATTATTTTGAGTACTGAAAAAGGTAACTTTACACATATGCTGACTGCTCTTACAAAATAACTCTAGAACTGCAACTTAACAATTTTCTGTTACCACTCAGAACTAAAGGTATAAAAAGCAAAAAGCAATTAATTTCAAACTAACACAAACATTAAAATCACAAATAATGTAGAGACTTGCCATGAGGTATAACAGAATAAATACAACTCCTACAAATTCAATTAGTAATGAACAAAGAAAAGATTACATCATATTCATTCAGTCTAGTCAGTCATAACATAGCCACCTAAAAGAAACAACCAGTGATAACCACTGAACCTATCATTACAATGTTTTGAGAAGGGAAAGATTCCATGATTGCATTGGGAAAAAAAAACACAGATAGATAAATGCTTAAAAAATCCCACTTCATGGGCGGCAAGACCTGAGTTGCATGGCAACAAATAGGTCTTATGTAGTACAATGAAGAAAAGAAAGAGTATTAAATTTAAAAAACAAAAACAGCGTACAATTTGGATAGGCACTGAGAAATGTTGTGAATCTAGGCAACACATGACATCAGAGGGCGTCATTAGATAGCAGTAACTCACAGACTGAGATTCTAAATTGGAAGCACTGTTTTAGTGATCTCATTTCCTCTCCTCAGTGATAATTGACTGTTGCAAAATATATTCCAATAACAGAGTTTCAACCGTTGGCAAAAGAAAAATGCAAATACATCAGACAACAGGTTTGAGTTTAAATTGTTGTGTATAAGTTAATGCTCACTGCAAATATAGACATCATTGAAGAAAACGCCTTTGACTTAGGGAGTAGATACTCAGATAGGCATTTTTTAGTTTCATATTTACAGTAAGAAAAATGAGACTATATGTACTTCAAGAAGTTAAGCATTATGTGCAAAAATATGACATTTTCAATGGGAATCAGGGGAGTAACTGAAGATTGGTTGACACATTTAACAAACTCGTATCTTTGGTAAAAATGAAAATGTGAGAATGACTCAAGGCAACAATCAAGAAAGCTACATGTTTTCCATATCAAAACAATTAAAACATGAAGTTACTAAATGTGAAAGTTAATAAAGGTATGGGAACATGCAGAGTATGGAAAGAAAATTGATTCAAGAAGGTAATGAGAAGTGTACAAGTCAAAATGTTCTACACAATTGCAAAGCTGAATTACATATAAACCACAGCTGATAAATATTTAGTTTTGCTCACGATTTGTCTAGTAATCTTCAAGGATCAGGATACATAAAAGGTTGTACTGAATGTATGCATACCCTTATAAGAAATCAAACACAAAATCAATCGAATTTTGGTATAAATTAAGACTATACTAGTACCTTAAAAAATTATATGTAGTAAAACATACAGTTTAATTCATGCCACTGATTATTTTGAGCAATTCTCTGGTAGAACCAAACCAAATTAGTACATACATACTGAGGTAGGCAACACTTAAGATGGACAAGAACTACAAAAAAGCTAAGCGTGAGTTTTTAATCAAATTAAATAACGTGTAATCATCATCCCGAATTGCATTCAATGAAATAGGAAGTCTTGGTCCATCATCTACTTTAAGCGACAATGTCAACAATAATAAGTAGAGAGATCAGAAAATATAGAGATAAATCCTCAGCTATTTCAATCAGCTTAGCAAGTATTTGCCTACCCCATTGATACAGAAAAGAAAACAACATGAAAATGAAAGTCTCAGTCACAATCAAACTCTTAATTCAACAATCACACAAATAAACAGAGCACATGTTGTCACTCTTAATTTTAACAATCAACTCTAAATAAGCTCACAACACAGTGTTAGGACTACACCCAAACAAAACAAATTAATTTCAGAGGTGAGGTACTAAATATTGGTCGACAATATTGAAATAAACTTGTCACATGAAATCACATGACAATAAAGGTATTTCTGAAAAAATCATTTTAGACACTACCTAGATAGATAGGTATTTTACACGTACCTATGAAAAACAAATAATAATAGCAATAATAATATAATAATAAAATAGCAATAAGACAACAAATAGCTAAATAAGGAGTGCACCAAAAACATGCACAGTATTTACAATCACAATATGTAATACTTGAATCACAAACATTCACAAACATGCATTTCCCAAAATTGTTTTTATCTAGGGAGGAAAACAGAGAAACATATGTTACGACATAAGCTAATGGGCAGAATCGTCCCCAAGTAAGGGGCATCAGTCTTCCACATTAAAAAAAATAAAATTATAATTCTGTATATATGGATTAGACAGTAGGTAGGTAGACTTATTGAATAACTAATCCATTGTGCTGCCCACTAACAAAATACACACACAAAGTTACTAAATTAATGCACCTAAAACATTTTATTGTCATAAAATAAAACAAGCATGAACTCTAACACTAGAATAATAAAAACCATTTCAAAAATTAGTGCCTGATTAAAATATTCTGTATAAGGTGAGCGGTAAGTAAAATGTTGTACCATTATATTGCAAGCTTAGGCTCATAAACCAACATTAAAACAATATAAACAATCCTGTTGTGAGAATGACGTGGTCTTGCTACAATTGAGAAACAGTCCTCGTAGCTTTTCCGACATCTTTTGGATAAAACTAATTCAAACTGATTTGGAAAACAAGAAAGAATGCAAATCATACATGGTGCAATTCATGGGAGGGATTGGATTAAAAATCTGAACTGCATTATTCTACCTATTACAACTGAGATAAAATTGGCCTTTCAGAAAGGTTTAAAACTCACTGAAGATAAAAACATAAGTATTAAAACATTTTCTTGTGGTCAAAGAATTAAAGAAAGGTTGTTCAAAATATTTGTAAGAATACAAAATAGTAGTCAAGTAATTGATAAAATGTTAAGGGTTCTACAGACTAAGCTGTCAAATAGAATATAAACTCACCCCTACGAGTAAACTAATGAGAGATGCTAACCAAATGGAGAATGAAAGGAAGGTCTCAATAAAGGAATGTTGAGAAGTATTCAAAAGGAAATGAAATAGTTGAAAATTTCAAAAAAATGGGGTAATTGATCTTAAATCAAATCTTGGCACCCTAAGAAATGTTAGATATAATAACCCTCACAGTTGAAAATGGCAAGAAAGAGAACACATGATGAGTCATGCTTATGAGAGCACAGATGTTACACTGGTGAGGTAGTATCTTTGTTAGTTTGGGTTTCAATGTCTACTCTGCAGATGGGGCAACGTTTGTTTGTTGAAAGCCATTGGTCCACACAATCAATATGAAATAAATGCATACAAGGAAGTCGCCTGCAAGGAAGAAGAAAATTCAAGTATTACATGTGAGAATATAGCCAGAAACATCATGGCAAAGATCGATCTGTTAAATGAAAAAGACAACCTCACCTCACATCATCATTATTTTCAAATTCAGACAGGCAGATGGTGCATTTCTCAACATCTTCGTCATGATCACCTGGTGGCCTTTTCCTCTGCCGAGGCAAAATAAGAACAAACATGATAGATAAATTACCTAATGAAAAATGCATAGGGATGTAGTAACACCACACAGAAATCAATACAGAAGTTAGCATACCTGTTTGTATTTATGAGGAAATGTACAACGCTCAATAGTGTCTTGGGTTGCACCACGGTTCATTTGAGCTAATCGGCGCTGTTCTACAATTCGCATGTAGTCCTCTAATCTGGCAGTCATGTGTCTTGCAAGATATGGGAAGGGAATAAGTTCAGTAGGCAGCAAGAGTGGAGCAGGCTGAGTTTGACTGCCTTCTGCTGCTATCACAGCCGGTATCTGCTAAAGAGCAATACAAGTTTTAATGACACAGTAGATACTGCAAGTACTGCAAGAATATGAATAGGATGGTAAATTACCACGGGGCCGGGACCAGGGCCCGCAATGCTTATTTGTATTTGGTGCAGTCTACGTATGGTGGGTTGAGGATGGTAGTACAAATGATGATGAACATGTTGGTGGTTTCCATCACTGCAAAGCAAGATAAAGACAGGTCAAAAACCCAAAACTGACTCTATTGAAAACAAACAAAGGTTCTTTCTTTAAAGAGACTTACACAGCGACAGTAGTAGTAGGAGTGCTGGATACAACAATTTCAGCTTGTATGTCAGGTACCATAGATGTACCTGGTGGATGGACAATTGTTGTAGTTGCCATCATTTCCGTTTCAACCGACTGCAGGGGTGTAACTGGGGTAACCTAAACCAAGAAAACCCATGGTTAATAAAAAAAAAGTTCAGGATTAAGAGAGTATTACACTGGAACAGCAGAGCTTGCTCCTTTCTATCTTACCAGGACGGGGGGAGAGAGAATTGTAGCTGTTCCTGCAACACCACCAGGACCAACCTCTGGTCGACTGAAGACAGTGGGTTGTTGTGGGGCTGGCAAAGGTGGCTGCTGGTGATGAGCATGGGGGTGGGAGTGAGAATCAGAATGGGAATGATTTGGTGGGGGATGGGAGTGTGCATGTGAATGTGAGTGTGAGTGAGCATGAGGAGGCATAGGGCAAGGGGGCAAGGTATGTTGCTGTGATGGTGGGGGTTGGGAGGGTGGCGGATGGGGATGGTGATGATGGTAATGCACAGGATGAGGTACCACTGGCACCCGCCAAGGAGACCATGACACATCACCCTGAGGAGCTGGTGGAGGTGGTGGTGGATCCCTTGAACTGTGAAAAGATAAAAATATTGAGAAAGTTAATTACCCCACTTTGTTTCAAACAAAGTTTTCCTTCATTTAAGAAAAAGTCTCAAAAGTTTACCAAGTCATGTGTCTCCGTTGCATCTCCTGTACTCTCTGCTGAACTTGCCATATTCTTTCATGCACAGGATGCATTCTGCCAGTGGGATGAAGAGGGTGGCGCATAGGTCGGCAATAATTTCCTCCCCTGATCATGTTTGGAGGCAAGGGAATCACCATGCCTTGGGGTCCTAAAAAGAAAAGATGGAAAGATATTAAGAGATTAGATTAAATTACAGAGCTAGCCTACTAAAAAAAACTGAACCGTCACTTGGAACTTACTGAACACTAAGGTCCGAGTGCAAGGGACCCTATGCTGCTGATGCCAGTTAAGCCCAGGTGGAGGAGGATGCGGAGCATGTGTTGGCACATTCGAGCAGGACCGGAAAGGTGACGCTATGTACTGTGGAGATTCTGTACTAGATGGTCTTGCAGAGCTTGTCGGCAACTAGAGACATATGAAAAGATTAAAAGATAAAAATTGAATCATTAGACCAACAATTCCCAGACAAGGAAAAGGACAACCTACACTTGCATCAGATGTGGAGCAGGTAGTGTGGAAACGGCATGCTGGCATTCTTTGATAAAACTGTGAAGAATGTGCAAGTGGTGGAGGAAGGGGGTAGCTAATTAATGGTACATGAGGGTTAACGGTGGGAACTCTTAGAGTAGCGGAGCATGGAGGAGAGGGTGACGGTGACGCTGGAGGAGGAGGACGAGATGGTCCGGGACTACTTGAGCTAATTTCACGCCTCCTTTCTTCAACTTGATTTCTTGAGGAGCTGGGAATCGCTTCCGTTTTGACCGAATTCGGTGGACTCGCACGTGCTGCCTCAGTTCTGGCACCGGATTCATTCCATTGTTGTTCTGGCCTTGTGTGAGACTCGTCATCCGTCTCCTCTTGGGTAAGGTCAACAACAGCAACAGGGTTTGTCTGGGTATTTGACGCCAGTACAGAAGTGCTAGTACCAGCCTGTTCTTTTGACTTTGACTGTTGATTTTTGTACATATAGACTACCTCTACTCCAACATCACTCTCTTCCGAATCACTACTTGAAAGCCAGTCAAGTTGCAGATCTGGCGCTGTTGGAGCATCTGATAAATCATAAACTCGACGAAAGGAGTCAGAGCGGCCTGACGCTGATTCGTCTTTAGAACCAGTTGGCACACTAGTTCCTTCGGTCACAGGTATTTCGACAAGATCATCCTCGCTTTCATTCTCAGTATCTCCTACAATGACACTTTTCCGCTCTTCGCTTAACTCCCAAGCTGGAAAAGTGGATAAATGCAAATATAGATAATATATAGTATTTTAAGTGGTATTCTACAGTTTTGAAAAAAGATACTTACCTCCATCACCTTCATCAGTACTTCGTGAATTTTTTTCAGGTTGATTTGTTTCACAAACTCTTGATGGACCTAAACAAAATAGATAAAACAGGGTTAATGTTGTTAGGTTTACATATCCTTGAACAAAATGTATACCCTGTACCAGCACAAAAATTAGATATAAACAAGGAACAATATTCACCTGGTTGACTGGCAGGTCCCTCCATGATACATGAAATTTCATCTTCAACTATCAAAGAGTCATCATCATCAATAGTTTCAGTTTCAATGCTCTGCTCAGGATAGGAGTGCTCATCCCTAACTTGCTGCTGCTGCTTATGATGCTCGAGTTCTTGATCTTCTGGAGACGTGGGGCAGGCTGGCAATGGTTGAGGTGAACCAAGAGATTGAGCTGGTTCCACATCTTGGAAAATTTCATCTTGTGGTTCACTTTTAGCATGCTGGGGTGACCAATAACCAGAACCACTATATGCCCTACGAAGACCTCTTGACCCAGGAGGTGGGCGTTTGCGATTATTTTGGCTGCTTTGAAAATTTGAACTAGAATGTGGAGAGCTAGATAGTTTGACAACTGGTACAGTGCTAATTCTGCTAGCAGCTCTCCCATCCACAATGACATGCTGGTAACTACATGAGGGAGTAGACTGTGCCGAAGAAGGGACACAATGTTCTTCAGAAGTACCTGAAACATGTTACAATGTGAGAAACATTTGAAATGATTGAAAAATAATCTTATTTGCTATTAGGAAAAAAAAGGTCAAGACGAACTCTCTATATTGCTGTGTCGAGTGCGTTGCCTCATTTTGTTGGCTTTAGCCACAGGCCTGTCAGCTTCGCGCAAGGCTCTTTTCCTACGAGCAGCATCAGTGGAATCACTTTGTGAGTTTGATGCACAATCTGAGGTACTGGTTTCATGGGTTTTCTGGTTTAAGGGAAACAGAAAGAGTAGCATTAGATTGAAAAATGTTCACTAATAGGAAATAGAACAACTCAGACAGAAAAAATACCTGGACACAGTTTTGGGATGGAATAATTGATTGATAATATGAACAGGGTTCTGAGCCCCACATCACTCCTTCTGATTCTAAACGATTCTGGGTGCTGGTGCTCTCCAAAGGTTTATATCTGAGAAAAGGAGAAATTTATAAAATGAGGAGCGCGTTCAATAGGTAAGGAAATGTGTAAGCAAAGTTGAGTTGTCATCAGTGTGCAACTATTGAGAAGAATACAAAGGCTTAAACAGGGCTAAGTATCATGCAAACTATCTGAATTAAAGTGTTATGTGTATATACGTCACTTATTTTCATTTGTAAAAAGGAGTATTAATGCATAGAGAAACATTCCAAAAGAAACAAATCTGGCAATCTAAAGTGAAACTTTTAAGGCGCAAGGTTACATCAATCCGTTCACCTGCTTACATATTCGAACAAATATAATGGGAATGTGAATTCAGTTTTAATTCTGCAGTTGACCTGGCTGGCTTTGTTTTTGTCTGGATAACTGGAGAGGTAACTGGGAGAGAAAGGCAAGCATTTTGGAAGCCAAAGCAGACCGCTCACCAAACTACAGCAGAAAAAAGTGCCCAAACAATGCATCATCACACACAACACACCCTTGATAAACCAATGAATTTTCCACACTTTTCAACCTAACAACCAATGACAACCTTCCAAATTGGCCCAGAAATCAGAAAGCATATAATGGAGGCAAGCCTTTGTAGTACAGTTAAAGAAAAAAGAACAGAGATAGATAGATAGATAGTTTTAAAACACAAAACATATCAGTGGATGCAGTATGACAAATCATAAATTTTTAAACTAAACAAATTGGATTTAAAAATGCCAAGCAAGAAAAAAGAAAAAAAAAAGAAAGAAAAAAGGTTATGAGAATAATTGGGCAGTGTACATCAATGCCATATTACAGGAGAAAGTACACCCAAAACCACACACATTACAACTAAATGAACTAAGCATGATCAGTACATTGTAAATAAAATAAACAGTAGGACATACCTCCGTAGAGTTGGATCAGTCCTTGGGTCTTGAAGTCTTGGGTCTGCAAGGGTAACCACACCACTATTGGATAGAGCAGGGGAAGCAGGTATTCTTGCAGCATCATCAGAATCACCATCAATACTGGCTTCGACAAGAGCGGTAGCAAGTCCACTACTCGCTTGATTCTCACACTGCACAGCAGTACTTGTGCTGGGGCCTCCTATTTCAGACACTGGTTGGGATGTCTGTTGATACTGCCATGTATCAAGTGTTAATGTATAAGGAGGTGAAATATAAGATGTTTGTTCACTGATAAATGTTTCTTGTTCCATTTCAACCACTTCATTTTCATCTTCTATATCACTTTCTGCAAACAATGGTTCACACTCCATCTCTCCTGAAACATGAAATTGCTAATGTATACTAAATAGTAACAAACTGTCAAAATAAAGGGCAATGTCTTTCAAAAAAATCATACCAGCACTGCCGCATTCATTGTCACGGTCCACACTTGATGTAAATGCTGTGTCAAATATGTCAACAAGTGCAGCTGGACTGCCCAACAATGCACCTTCTTTGGACTGACCAGGAGTTGATGGCCATGGATCTGAAGTGCCAGTATCAACGGTGGCTACACTTTCACCCATATTGGAAAACTTGACTTAATACAGATGCAAGTTAGTGCTGTTTAAGCACATGAGGGTCATGTATATGATTTATGAATTTTCTCTATGACATGTTGAAGTATTTCTTGCTACACCTGCAAGAGAAAAATAAATAAAATAGAATAATAATGCAAGCAAACAAAAGGAAAAGAAGAGAGAAACGGAAAGATAGAAAAAAAAAGACCTTGATCATCCAATTAACTAACTAAATATTTTGAGTAAAGAAAAATTGAAGAAGTGACAGCTACAAAATAAGACGTAACACAAGTAGTCAACTATATCTCAGAGATCTCCAGTGCACAGAATTAATTTGGCTGGAGAAATACTGATAGTAGTTGGCAGTGGCATCTTAGATTAACATAAAGTGTAACCCATCAGATCAAAAACAAATATTTAGACACTTAAAAAGAGAGAGCAGATTACAATGAACATGACTGTTATTCATTCTAATACAACGTAAGATAACGCGATGGACGAGGAAAATTAGTTTGCTACACACTTTGAACAACGTACAAGTCCATGACCACTGATTACTTAATATTTAAAAAGTATATAATCGATATTATTTGTCTTGGGCGGTTTCCAAAACTTTGAGGTTATGTTGTTGGACAAGAGAAGTGACGTTTAGTGCTCAACGTCGCAACCGTAATCTAGAACTTCATGAAAATTGATAAGGAGACATAGAAGTAAATAAAAACACGTCTCAAACCTTGAAGCAGAAAAATGGCAAATATAAACAAACAAAAGACCCACAGAAATAAGTAACTTAAAGCAAGCAAAACTTTCCATAATGAACGATTTCACAAAGTCATGAAATCAAAACATCACAGCAATTTACAATAAAACTATGCTTGAACTCCAACACTTGTCAAAATTCTGAAATACCAAAAGTACAGAAGCAAATAAGATGAATGAAAACTAAATAGACCTAAGAATATTAAAAACATCTGCGGATAGCAACATTACGTGAAAAAACTTATGGGGCCGTCCTTGGGCTATTCCGAGAGTGAAAGTTCGTGGATCATGGCATGTTTCAGCCGAGAGTTTACAAATTCTCACCCCTTTCCCTGACAATCCAATTTTGAGGCCTCAAATATCAAGACCCCATTGCACCACCACTCTTGTTTTCCAAGAACAGCCTCCCTCCTCTTGATTCACACATTGAAAATGGCGACGTCAGGCGGTCACGTCTTTGCCACAGTTGGGACGACGAAATTCGACCTATTCATTCGCACTCTAACAAATGACGATGTCCTCCGAGTAAGTAAATATACTACTTAACAAAACATCATAATATTTACCCAATTTCAAGAGCTAAGACCAGTTAAATTTCGGTAAATATTGCTCCGTTGACGGAGCCTGCGCAGGGCAGGCTGTCTGCTAGGACTGCGAAACTGATAACAATCCAAACAAATGCATCCGCCCGTATCCAATCGGTACCATGATGTGGGACTTCAAGTCTGTCAATAAAAGGAACTAATCGCTCTACCATTTCCTGATTGATTATTAACCCCTTCATGCATCATCGATTTATGTGAACCAAAACGAAATCCTTGATAACAAAATTTAGTCTGCATCTGACAGGCAGAAGTCACTGCTTGTTACCATGGACTTACAGCTGATTATAGATGATAGCCACTCTATCTTATTCATACTTGCACTTAAAAAACACTAGTATAATTATGTTGCATATATTGTTATTACCTTTTAATTGTCTCTAAGGCTACATTGATACTTGTCTGAACTTAACCTCCTTGTTTGTTGACCTCTTCCCATATGGTATCCCTGGTACAATGTGGCAACCTTTTAACAAAAACAAAAATACAAACATGAATTCTATTTTTTCCCCCTTTATTTGTTCGACAGGAATTGGCACGTAGGGGATATTCCTCACTGACCGTGCAGTTTGGCAATGGTTTATTTGAGCCTAAGGCAGGAATAAGAGAGGGAGTAAAAGTCGAATGTTATCGTTTCAAAGACTCGATCATCAAAGATATCAAAGATGCTGATCTAGTCATAAGTCATGCTGGTGCTGGCACATGCCTTGAGGTACATAAAATAATGGTAAGCTTCGGTGCAAATCTTTATTATTTAACAAAATTATTTGATGGAATTGTTGATTTTCAGGTACTAGAGCGTAATAAAAAATTGATTGTGGTAATTAATGAAGAATTAATGGACAATCATCAAACCGAACTTGCTGACAAGTTGTTCAAGGAGCACCATGTCTTTTGTTGTACTCCAGCCTCGCTCTGCAGACTTATTCAAAGTATGGAGTTTACACACATCAGGCCTTTCCCACCTGGCGAAACATTAACCATAGCAAAGTTTTTAGATGAGGTCTGTGGATTTGGAACTACACCTCCCACCCAATAACGTAAGCGCCATTTTTCTATGTGATTTGTAACCAAAGAATTGAAAGATCAGTAATAATAATAGATACTGTATAATTTGAAGCCACGATAAAAAACTGTAAATATGATCATCATTGAATGGTGGTGATTCACATTCCATATGTAAATGGATATTTCCTTGGTAGTCTGTCCTGGGCAAAATAAAACCAATAAAACAATGAAGCTGTCATAAATTTATTACTAGTTCCTTAGATCTTTTCTTGGTCAACAATTAAAAAACAGCAACTTTAGCATTTTTGACATAAATGAAACACACGCATAAAGGTCTATAAGAAAAGATATGAAAAAAAAATCCATGATGTCTATCAAATTCTTGGTACAAGTAGTCAGTATTTTTTGGGTTTTTTTTTTGGTTAAACATCTACTGTAATATACTGCAATTTGACCAAAGTGGAATGTCAAATGAATCTGCAGGCTTCAAATGAGTTGCTGGAAAGTTACTTACACCATTGTCAAATATCTTGGTATGTGAAGAACAATATTTTAATTAGCATTAAGTTCTGTTAAAGTCGGTGTTGGTGAAGGATCACTATAGCAGGATTCAGTGACCCAACTAGTGTTGGAATCTTCTGCATCATTTCCATTTGTTTGCTCAGCATTCATGTACAGGGATTCATTTGATCCAGCACAAAAACTGAAACCTCTTCCTTTATCACCTTCAGTATCACAGTCAGTTTTCCTTGGAGTGATAATTTGAGGACTTGTCGTTAGACATTTTTCAGGTACATTACTCTCACGATTTGTGATGAATGATACAGGATTTGTCTTGAGTAGGTCGTTAAGTTGTAAATTGGGAAAATCTGACTGAAATATCTCATTTAAAATATTCTGAAGATGACTTTGAGGTGATTCAATAGGACCATGTGGTACATCAACATTCACATCTTCTCCAACTGTCTTGACTTCTTTCTGAACTTTTTTGCACTGCAAAATCAATTCCAGTCGATCACATGTACTTGTTTTACATCATTGAATTAACTGTAGTACACTGTGTACCTTCTGATTAAAAGAGTTGGAATCCTGGTCTATTTCAGTGGATGATGTCTCATCATTGCTATCACTTGTTGTAGCTTGATTTAACTCTACTCTCCTGGTCAAAAACATTTGAAAAAAGTAATAGATTAATATTTCACATTACCTGGATGTTAATTTATTTTCAATGGTTTGTACCAGTCTTGAATATTTCTCTGTGAAAGGGAAAGAGCAGCAAACTGTTTCACATCCTCAGGTTCTTCATCCACACCAGACTCAAAGTCACTTTGTATGCTCTGCGATAGAGAATTGGGAGAGACCAAGTCAGATATTTGGACAGAGCTGTTTTCAGTCCTCAAAGGAAGCCTGCAAATCAACAGTAAAGTTCAAACAACAAACAAAGTAACTGAGGAGTGGGGGAATGGGGCAGCACTTGAACATGACTTCAGGAAAGTTATATGCAGGTCTAGTTTTAAAAACTATAGCAAAATGAACAGTGCAGACTTAAATGTCATAAAATTTAATATAAAAATTGAATCTATCTATATCATAAAATATCATTGAACAAAAAACAGTGCTTTCAGTTAATGAAGTGTGATTGCTTTGTGTTGTAGAAAATTTGGTTGATGTTCATACCCTTGTTTTGAAAATATAGCTACAAAGCAATTGAAAGCAGCAAAGGCTTCTGTAATCTCCTTAACAACACCTTGGTCCATTAAGATTTGACCCTCATGCTTTTGGGTAATTGTTTCAAGCCTTAATGCTAGATCAGCATTTTGCTTTTCTGCTTCAAGCCGCCTACGCTTTTCCTCTTCTAATTTTGAAGAAAGCTCTCGAAGCTTTGCTCTGTGAGCGGAAAAGAAATATTCTGTAGATCTATTGGTAGTAGACTCTGGGTTTGTGGCTTGCTATGTGTTGTTATTCAGTCATTTCTGTTTTTCAGCTCAATCTTATGCCACAGTATTGACTATTTTGTTGAATTATGCCTTGATTTTCTGTGGTGCACATACACTGCCTACCACCCCCAGTAGGATACTTCAAAATTTGCAGAGGAATTGAAGAGTGGAGACTTACCGAATATCATGTGCATAGCTCCCATCTCCAGAAGCATTAATGTGTTCCCAATTGCTCATAGGGTTTGACGGAATTGTAACCTTTTGCTTGGCATTAAATTGGTGCCTCCTGAAATTTAATTAAGTAATAAACATTACAATAATTTAGAAATATGACTAAACTAAATTATCATTAAAAAGAAACAACTCACCTTAAGGCTTTTGGTGTATTCTTGTGTTCCAATGATCGGCCATTACTTTTATTAGAGATAACAGCTGAAGCAGAACGTGCTCTGTTTAGAGTTAAGAGAAATATATAACAAGAAGCTTTGTGACAGTCAAGGTTTATACAAGGTTTGTAAACTTACTTAGTAATTTGTACTTGAGTACCTCTTGTATCTGGAATTATACTGCTTTTTGTTAGACGAACAGCATTGCCATCATAGAATCGCTGTTCAGAGTTGGCTCCATCATGGCATTTGATTGACCTTTGAGCAATGGAAGGATCCCTACTTTGATATAAAGGTTTCCGTGGGAAATATAATGTATCTTCTCTTATCCAATGGTACTGAGAAACAAAATGTACACAGAAATAACATTTTATTCAAGTTCACTTTAAATCTAAAATAATAAATATATTCTTACCTCAGATGGCTTTCCCAGATTGTTGGATGCTAGCATATTCATCACAGATTCATAAACTGATTCATCGAGATGAACATTGTTGTGCACATCCAAAACAGATAGGCTTTTATTGACTTTCAATAAATTTACTATCTCCATTCCACCAACATTTGTCAAACCAACATTTTGTAAATCAAGAGCTTTCAAAAAATATTATTGTTAGAATATGTGATAATGTTATGGCAACAGAATAGAGAGAGGCATTTATACCTTTCAACCAGAGGTCATCTCTGAGAACATTGATTATTTCTGTGACACCGGCATCTCCAATGAGGGGGTTGTGATTCAGAGTTACCCTACGTAGTCCAGGCATCACATCAGTGTCAGGAGTGCGATAACGCAAGGATTGCTTCCAGTTCTCTCCATATCTGTTCAGATTCTGGTACTACAAAGTGTAGCAATTGAATAATAACAACAAAATATATCAACACATATGAGCTAAACTACCTTTAAAAACAGTTAAATAAATGCACAAATCCTGCTTTCTCACTTGAAGGGTCCTTGCTATGCTGTGAACTCCCTTGCAAGATATGTTGCACCCTGACATATCAACAGTCAAAATATTGGGCAAATTACGAAGAGAGTTGCACACTAAATGACAACCCTCATCACCGAGGGGGCATCGGTGAAGTGAGAGATGCTGCAAAGATAAACTCTTCTCAAGACCCTAAAGAAAAAAAAATTGAGAGGCCCATTTGAAACATTTTATGACAAAATTGTTACTAATTGATCTTTTGTTTAACTATTAGAAAAATAAGAAAACTCACAGAAAGTAGGGTCTGCAAATACTCTCCAGAGAGTAGGAGCCCATCTAATTCCAGACATTTAAGGTGAGAATTGTAGTGTAAACAACGACTCAAAGACGTTACCAATTTACCAAAAATAAAATGGGTAAGGAGGACTGGCAGTCTTTTCACAACAGATCGACACTTTGTTTCAGAGTCTATGTGTTCCAGGACTGTAAAAGTGAAAAGTTAATAGTGTTGCGCAAGAGCTCTCACATGGTTTATGTAAGTTGAGAGCTTACCTTTGGAACACGAGTTTTTGCTTCTGATCGCTATAAGGTGAAGGCTACGATCTAGGCTTAATGCCTTCAAAATTGGTCGCCATTCATCTAATTTAACTCTGTCCCCATTAAAGTCTAATATTCTCTTGTGCAAATGAGCTTTAATAGGAAATATCATTGAAGTGTTATGAATGTTACAGAGATCTGTGTAACATAACTGAAATACATGACAGTTTTTCTTTCTGTATTTCATTGGAGAACGTGCCATAAAATTGGAGCAAGCCATGATGATATGAACAAAATTTTCCCTTACATAAGATCAGTAGTAGTAAGAGAAGTGAGACAAGTTACTGTTGCCATGGTTACTGGCATTCTGGCATCTAAAAGTTGTATGAAACAGCTAATATTTTTCAAAGATTTGCGATAAATTACGAGAGGCGCAACATACAATGGCCTGTTTTCAGGATTGCTAATGACAACCATCATAGTTCGTCAGATAGATCGAACACGAAGGGCAGTTGCCGTAGCAGCAAACGCAAACATTCCCCCGAGAAACAAACAGTAGACCGCCATCCCCGCCATCTCTTTTCAGCAGGTGGACAAACACTTGCATACCCACATGGATGACTACTCGGTCACGGTAACGGCACTTTCCTCTCATTTCGCAATCACGAAAGCCAATAATTAAGAGCAAAAATCTATTCTTGAAAACCAATTGGCCTATCCGAGGAGGCTAGCTGACAATAAAGATTCCTTCGTATTTTGGATCACAGATGGTAGTGCTGAATGGTAAAGCAAAATCCACACTGAAAAACTTGTTGTTTATTTCCCGTGTACGTATCATAAAAAAATTACATTTGCAAAACAAGGGGAATGAGTCTATACAGCCATTATATAGATGATGTACAGAGGGAGTTCACAGCCTAAAGTCAAACTCGCAGCACCTGGACTTGTTTTTATCCTTCCATCATGGACTTGGCTCTGTGAAGCTCTGCAAAGGGCGAAACATTGCAAGATTAAACGGTGTGGTCGTAGACACAACAAAGCACAAGGGGGTCCCCACAATGAAAGTTTTGCGAGGCAGCGACACCTACAACGTACGCAAACCCATCAAGCAGCTGTGTTTGAACGGTGGCCTACCCCGGGGTGCCCGAGTACGGGCGGTTCGGGCACTTCGGACAAAGGAACGCTTGACACCCAAGAACGTTAGGGATCGCCACAAAAGTACGTCCGTTTTCCCCAGAATTTAGTCGATTGTCGTCGATAGATTACGGGAGCTCAGCGCCTGCGATACTCAGGGTAGGCCAGCCCGCAGTAGACGCATGCGCCCCAGGCAATGTGTTGCCTACCTATCAGGCGCTACGAGACCTTGCACAGGCTGAACCGGCCGGGTTCGTGACAGCGGATGACGGGCCTACTTTCTCGATGATCCCCCACCTCACACCTCGTGTCACCTCGGGGGGCATTCATTGTGGGGGCACCTTTGATGCCTGTACTCGACCAGTCCACGTACCGGAGAGCAAGTCCTGGAGCTGTGCGCGGCTGAGTGTGAGGTCGTGGGTCCGAATGCCGCCGGCGACGCCGTCACGCACCGACAGGCTCAGAGAGAAGTGGCGATCCAGGACAGCGTCAGCGTCGTGCGAGGGCAGTGGCGAGCACGACACGCCTTCCAGGGCGGACACTGTGGGGGAAGCTGGACGTTAACAGGGAGCCAAAGCACCGCACAGTCTCCCGCGGACGAGAACGAGATCCTCGACAACGTCGTTGGCGTCGAGCAACTACACCACAAACCAGGATCCTCTATACGTACCGCGCAGGGAGAGCGTCTTGAGGTGGGCGGTGATGGCGGCCACGTGCTCGCCGAACACCTTGGCGGCGGCCTGCGCGTGCTCGCGGGGCAGCCCCAGCTGCTGCAGCTCGGACGAGAAGGAGTCGGCGTCCACGGAGTGCTTGGAGGCCGAGCCTAGCAGCCAGCGCAGCGCCGCCACCGCACCCTGGACGTCGGCCTCGCCTGCACAGAGAGCGCGGGGGTATGTCTGAGGGGGGCTGCTGCAGCGAGGGGTAGCTGCCCGGGGGTTCGGCCGTGAATCAGAGTTGCCAGGGTAGGCTGGCAAAATATTCTCTCGAGAACATCTGTGTGGACCTGGACCGTGCTGCATCTACGCCTGCCTTCCAGGCAACCCCATCAGTACGGGTACGGGTGTTAGTACCAGCTATTAGTACCAACGTTACCTGTTCGAGGAGATTTTTTGCTTTGTAGAGTGGGCGACACTGGCTGGGATAGCCGGCGCCGGCCTTCGACAGAGGCTGACCAGACCCGGAAAATGAGCCGCATTTGATTGGTCGCAGTGCTTTTCGAGTCCGCGGTCCGTTCTGCGAGGCCTGCGCCGCCCGCGCCGCCAGCGCCAATCGCATATCGGTGTTTGCACAAGAGGGGCAGGAGGGCGAGGGCCTCCCAGCCGAACCGAGGGCGCGCCCGGGTACGCCCCAGCGGAAATCAGGGAGCTCGCAGCCCGGGACAGAAACAGCTGTCGGGGCAGCAGGTGGCGCCGACCTGGCCGGCCTGGGGTCACAAAGTACCCCTGTGTACCCGTGTAGTCTTTGGATGGCGCGCAACCCTCCGTCAGCCATTAAACTCCTCCACCCAAAAGTTGTGGTGACGGGTCAAGCAGCTAAAAGGGATCGTCCAGAGTGTAAGTCCGTTTTTCTCACATTCATTCTACAAATTACGGGAGCTCGGCGCCTGCGGGACGCAGGGTAGGCCAACCCGAAGTACGCGCATGCACTGCAGGCGAGATGTTGCCAACACAGTAGGCGCGATGATGAGAGCCTGCTCGCTAGGCTGAACTTGGCATAGATTCGAATTCGCAAATGACGGGCGTTACTCACTACTGGATGATCCCTAAGACGCAATACCAATGCGGGGCGAGGGACCTACCGAACTTGGCGTCCGCCGTGAGGGTCCTGGCGCGCTCGAACTGCGGGGCAGAAAAGAGCAGAGTTGAACACACGAATACAGTTAGCCGAGAGGTATTCTAGGTCCGTGGTCCAGAAGATCTCCTTCCGGGTTGCACCCACCCCCACCCCTTTCACTTCCGGGGTGAAGCCACTTACATCCATGTCCTCCCCAGCCAGAGCCTTGGTCACGAGTCCGCAGAGGAGTCTCATCTTGATGGAGGTCTGCAACAACAAAAACAAACATAGAGGGCTGGCCTTCAAAACAAGATAGGGGTGGGGCTGGCGGTTATATCGGAACCACATCAGCATCAGAATCAAGCCCGATGGACTCCTGTGGACGCAAGGAAAAGGGGATGGATAGGAGGACGATCGGAAGGGGTGGGTGGGGGAGAAAGTTGCGATTGGTGAAAGCGATTCTCACCAGTCGTGTGAGCGTCGGGATCTCGGTCAGCACCCAGTCGGGGCAGTCGCCATCACCGCAGAATCGAAACTTCTGCAAAGGGGAAAGAAATCGGTGCACGTTAGTGTGTTGTTTAAAGAACCAGCAAAACAGAGAAAGAAAGGTTTTCGCAATAAGGCACGGGAAAAATAGGAGGGTTCGTACCATTTTCTAGAGACGACGTTTTCAGTCTAGTTGCGGAACCTGAAACAAAAGAAAGAAAACTCATGACATTTTCTTGAATAAAATGAGAGCTTTGGCGGGTCGGTGCAAGTAGAGATTTTTGAAACATTTCTAGAAAAACTTCCCAGGAAAAAAATTGTAATTTAAAAATAATAATTGAAAAGTTTCCAAAAATTACTTTTTATCTGGAAAATGAAAATCCCTAGGCGTGAGCGAGGGCACCTACCCCACTCGTTCCTGACCTGACCGCGCCCTTCTCCGAAGTCCTTTCTCCCACGTGATCCCGGCCAATCGCGGCGCCCCGCCCCGCCCCATTCCTTATGCATCCCCAGGGAACCCGCGGCCGGGCGCGGCGGGTCGCCGTATAAAGTCCGGCGCCGGCCGCGGCGCGGGGCAGTTAGACGTTAGGCCCGTCGCACCCGAGCATGGGGCTCCGGAAGCTGGCCCCCGGCAACGCCGTCCTGCTCCTCGCCGTCGTCTGTGTCGCGGCGCTGCTGGGCCAGGGCGCCGGCCAGGGCGCCGCCCGGGAGGCCGAGTCCACCGCATTCCAGGTGAGCCCGAGGGGTACCTCCACTCAATAAAATCAGTGTACACCCTCCAAAAAATCAGGAAGAATCAGAAAAATACGAAAGAACAAAAAGAATGTAGAAAATCAAGGAAAAGCAGAAAAAATGGTGTACCCTTTAACTTATTGTTAAGTACCCCTCCCCTCGGTTGAGCCCGCCGCGTCCCTCCGAGACGAGAGCGCCGCGCCCACGCTGACACCCACGCCCGCGCAGCGCTGCTCGCAACGGCACTCCAGCCCACCCCGCCCCGCCCCGGCAAGTTGTCGCCTCTCTCTACGGGTGTGCACACTCCCGAGCACACTATCCAGCAATTGTTTCTCTTTTCGCCTCGCTCTCTTCTCCTCGCCCCCACCCCCCAGAGGCACTACGACGAAGCGAGTGCTCTCTGTCGCACCATGCACCACCTGTGCCCGGAGCCGAGCCGAGCGCCAGTAGTCCTTCCTAAGGTCCTGGGGGGAAGGGGGGGGGGGGGCAGGTGGTACGCCCCTGCACGCCTCGCTCACACCTCGATAATTTGATTGCGACCTTTCCCCGTCCCCGACGTGAAGATCACAAAGCCGAAGCGTACACGTGAGCAAAGAGCCCATTCCAGAACACTCCCGAACATATCGCTAACCCTTTATATACACGCAGCGAGGTGTTTGAAACGCCACGGCGGGACGCCCACGCACCTGGGCCAAGTAGGTCCGAGCGTCGAAAAAACTCCATAAAAAATGATGGAGTTTAAAATAAGCAGGAAATGAGTGAGTGAGGGAGAGAGAGAGAGCGCTCGGCTGAATGGATCGCAAAGGCATGAAGGGGGAGGGCGGGGGGGGGGTCATATGATCAACATTTAATTACCTTAAGCGAGCGAGAAGGCGGCCGCCAGCAAGAACAGGGACCCCGGCGCTCAATATTGCAGACCAAGACGGCCGAGGCACACATGTGAGGCGGGCGGCAGCGCTGGACCAACAGGAAAGGGGGGGGGGGTCGGGTTTGGAACCCAGCGGGCAGGGTGGGTGCCTTTGCGCCTTGGTTATTCCAATTCAGTTATTCTCCCGAGAAACGGGCAAGGGCGAAAGACAGAGGGCGTTACTGAGAACGGAGAGGGAGCAGAGGGGAAGTGGAAGCGGGGAGGGGG